TGATATTAGTACCGGTACACCGCTTACGGGTACATGTACATGTATATCTGCATGTTTTTAACATGAGGAATGTATTATACATGTACATACCGGTACACGATAACTATACTGTTTATGATTGTCTTTACCACAATGAGGAATTTTCTTCTGGTGATGATACAATGTACCGGTATGCATATACATGTGCATGTATCGTCGGCACTGAATATTTGCTTTCCAAAATACACATGTATGTACATGTACCTGTTCTCCAACACTTTCCAAGGTTGAACAACACTGAACAATGCCAATGCATGTGTCACCTGTTATTGAACTAGTGCATTTTGGCAAGTCACATTATCCTACATGTACCATATTATGTATGCATAATTTGTAAACTGTAAGCACATATGATTAACATCACCAATTCCAAGTTATATGTTTACAGGGTACATGTAACTCTGGTAGCCAGATTATAAATACACAAGAGAAATGCGTATTCTGAATACACCCAGGACAATTACAATGTATTTTGCGTATGCTTAGCCATCCCATCGTTTTACATGTAGTGTACATTAGCATTAGCAGGGGGCTCTCATGTAGAATGCACTATCATTTGCCACCACAAACAAACCTGTAGAGAGTAGTCAATGAGAAGTGGTGTAGGTGGGAGGAAAAACCCAGAGATATACATGTATATTGGGAAAAATCCTTGGAATCAGATTGTATTTGGTTAGCACGAGAATCACAGAGTTTGATCTGGTGACCTTTGTTTATTAACCCTAACCCTACATTGTACATAATACTACAAATTACTACTTGTAGTAAAATTTAGTACCGAGCGCTGTCGCTTGTAAGATACAATAGATAAGACAATAGATACAATAGATAAGACAATGTACTATACAGTGCTGTGGCACTATGAATGCATGGCTTTATTGTTCTCTGTACGGGTAACAATCGAAGTAACCTAGCCAGAAGTAGTAATTTGTAGCGCTAGTTCTTTCAGGCTCAGGCTATTACTTAGTATTTTGTAGTACTAAGTACTGTAAGCCAAACAATATGCTTGGCGGTTAGGGTTAAGCAAGGTTTTTTCGCGCTTAAGCAAATTCTGTGCGTACATGTAACCAGCTCTATGAAATTAGCCCCTGGTCTGCAGAGGTGGAGAGTGGGGGAAGGACCACTATGCCAACCGGATAGTACGTGTACATGTATGTAGATTGCATCGTGCAATAAGTGTTCGCATTCATTACGCATTCATTATGTACACATGTACAATGTAGTCTTGTATGCATACATGCACATGTTCTGTATGCGAGCATTGTCTTTTATCAGAAGAGTAAAGTGCATTCAGACTTTGCCACTGTTAAGAGGGATTTGGTTCAAATCCTCACAAGATTGCTGACACAAAAAATTGATGCACTAGTAAGGACACATAAAAAATAATTAGTTCAGCATCAGTGACCGCCTCAAAAAATCTTGCCGCATTTTTTCCATAAAAGCTGTCTCTTCCGATGTCCTTAGCTGTCCACCATAGTTTCTACAACGCCCACACAACCTCGTGCATGCACAACATGCAACCTGAGTACATACACACAATGTCATGTGCACCAGTCAGAAGTGAACATTGCACTTTCGTTCCGTGGTTGCGGCAGTCATTACAGCATGCATACCAAAGTATTTTTTTTTTTTAAAATCCTCCCTCCTCGTTTTTTTCAAATATGACTGATATTAAACTATTTTTGTTTTAAGTGGCCAACATGTAAGTACATGTACATGTACCATTACCTTATGGTGGTTATGCCTTTGAGAATCCAACAGGCAGAGATGAATGCACACAATATTGGAGAGTGCGACTAAATATATACTCTTTGTTAAAATGGTCCAGAATTGTCATCACCTTAAAATCCTCATTACCATCCATATTCAAAGGGCCAACCAGACACATTTAAATTTTCAGCTTCTAAAGGTAATTTACATGTACGGTATACATGAAGATGGTTCATCAAAACCACAAAAAACATCCTCTGTATCAAAGTTGAGAGGCAGATCTTAGTCTTACCCACGACTTTTATTTCAAACAGAAGGAAAAATTTATGTGGTACTGGTACATATAAAAATATGATTTATAAGAGAGCTACATTAAGTGGTAGACTTCAGCAGAACTGTTTAGTATAACACTCAACTGCAGTTTAAGGAGGGTGCAGAAGGGACTTACCTCCTTTTTCTTTTTTTCTTCTTCTTTGCGTTTTTTCTCCTCTCTGATTTGTTGAAGCCGCAGCTTCTTGCGTTCAAGTTCAGCTTTTCGGTCAGACATCACTTACATTCAAAGACCAACTTCACGCAAAGCACACACCTACAAAATCCAAACATGTTAGTCGCTTTTAAACAAACATTCATCAGTACATGTACGTCAGACGGTCTCCCTATTTAAAAACTACAACTTGACCGCGTATCAACATTTGATAATGCCTGCTGAGAAATGATCATGCCCGCTGCATACTGTAAATCACACAATGGAGCCTGGATACGAGACGGTTTAATTGATTCTGATTGGTCAAGTGCCTGTGTACACGCGGGTTGCCATGCATGCACCGAGGCATAAGGAGATTTTTTTGGACAACTAAATTAAATAAAATGGACGGGGGTGTTCAAGAAAATGAAAGTAAACTTCTAGAACGAAATCACTGGAAATCAGACGTTTATTGTCTTCTGTTCACATTCTGACTAAAAAAGGTTTTTATGAATGGGATTATGGGTACCATTACATGTACATGTATGTATGTGAGGTTTAAGGCCGGCTCTGGAGACTGACTGCTAAAAATGCCCTTGCCTGCAGCTTGGGCATTAGTCACGGATTCTGCTGAGCCGGTCTTAAATGCATGTTTAAGACCGGCTAAGCATGTACATGTATTATTCCCTTAATAATGCATCAATTGTCAACATACAGAAGGCAGATCATCAGGCTTTAAAACAAACCTGCGGCTTGCGGACATTAATCATGAAGTTGCCCACATATCAGCTTCATGGGAGTAGTTTAACTGTTACAGCAGTGCCGCGATTTCACGGCCGTCTCGTGAGGGTGCGCTTCATCAAAAGGCCACACTTAGCGCTAGCGCCTCGGTGTATACAATTTAACAGAATTCGGAACAGGGTTTCAAATCAGCAATCATCATACATCCTAGGGGGTTCAGAAGTATTCAGTTGGGTAAGTTATCATTTGAAATCTTTATTCAGTCAAAGGCATTTTCAAGCAAATAATGGAGCCGTTTATATGGGTTATTTATCTAAAATTTACTATGGGTTATTATGCACAAATTATTGCGGGAATACTAGCACATCTCCCGGCGTGCCTTTTCATTCTATTTAGATTGAAGTCATTAGGAGAGTGTAACGATAAAAAGATCTTTATTAAACGTGCTGTTAATTATCTTTGTTTCCTCTTTACTTGAAGCTCACATATATTCAAGGGAGGGACAGCAACTACATGTACATACCGGGAGGGTTTTTTCTTGAATTTCTTCTTAAATGCAATAAACCAGATTGCCAACTAAACTTGGAAAATAGTCTACATTAACTCTGTCCTTTTCTCTCATTGTTTGGTTTAAGGGATATCCGGTACCTACAGTATCTTACAAAGTATAATTATTTACTATTATTAATGAAAAATCAACAGCGACCTCTCAAAACTGAGCCTTCTACACATGTACTACTGTAGGTCATGTCAGTCATACATTCTAGACTCGTTCACCCTTGACCAAAATTTGGACAAAAATGCTCCAGATCATGTCTTTCATCCGTATTAAAGATAAATTTCAGCATAGGTACCGGTACATACATGTATATGCACGAGATTGCACAATTTTAAACCCCAAAATGAAAATGCTCCCAACCAACACCATCACCCTTGGTTGCTCCGCTCCCTCACAGGGTCTCACTCCCAGACAGTTCAGGAACTTGGCATCTCTGCAACTTGAGAGGGCAGGTGTCTTTATGTACATGTAGTTGCTAGCAAGAAGGTACAGTTGGCCTACACTGTACAGAAATTCTGCAGGTCAAAGTTGAAAAACATATTGTCCACATATTTTTCATCTAGTGGCAATAACTGGGGCACAAGATACAGTAGGAGTCCGATAATGTGTTCTTATTGGTCTATTCTTTTGCCAGCAGCGGTGGAATTGTGGAACAGTCACACAGAAAAACTCAGTTTGACACAGGTTTGAAAATAAGAAACGTACACATATATGTACATGTATGTAGAGGCAAGGGGAAAGGATAACAGGGTCATATTAGGGAATACGGTATACATGAACATGTAGAAACAAGGAAAAAACTTGCACATACATGTACATGTACAGTGTAGTACGAGTAAGAGAGGAAGCAAACA